CGTATGAAATCGAAAGTTTTACATCGAAGTTTTCAAGGCAATTTTTGGTAGAGAACGCAAAAAGTTACTTGGCACTTAAACGTTAAGAATGCTTTACAAAACGGTACCCAAACTGCTGGAAAACTAGAGGCAACAATGCGAAAGCCGAAAGTGTCACAAAATATCAAACATATATATATATATATATATATATAATATAGATATATATATATCGCCTATACATATACGACATTATGTATATGGTATACGTGTGATGTATAAGTCTACTACTAACCAACAAAATCAACTTTGTGCACTTAACGCATGACATGGCACTCTGAATGTTATAGGCAGCGCGCTCGTCATTCAATTTACTTTCTCTTCATCATCAAACTGAACTATGTGGCCTATATACGTTTTCACTGGAACTACCCACTCTAAAGTCAATGGGTAAGAAAAGGACCGAATTTAAGGGCGCCCCCCAAAATCGCTTTTGCCACACGTTGGGGCATGTCCCGCGGGGATCGGCCAAAGTCTCCCATGCTCGTTATCAGCCTTAGCCTCTGGTTAGCGGGACGCCTCCCGTTCAGTGGGCTTCCTGTCCTTGGCCTTACATCGACGGCTCGCGGACGGCCTATAAAACGAAAGGCCTGTGAAGCAGGCACCCGGTCTCACTGCGGCACTCGACCACAAAAACACAGCATGCAGGTAGTCGCTTGAAGGAAGGTGTTTGAGGTTGGTAGTGTTTTTCAACTGTCAGAGATCACTCTGGAAGACATGCCGTGGTCGGAACCATGCTGAGATGCGTTGTATCAGAAGCGTGGTTGTAAACTGCATTGTAAAACAGGAAAAATGTCAAAACGACTGGCTTATTAATAACACAACTGTGGTGGCATTTCAGATCTTCATCGTTGCCGCCGTGCTGGCTGTCGCCGCCACCGCCCCGGCTCCGGAGGACGCCGGTGTACAAGCCCACGCCGGCCCCCATACCACCCGGCCCCCTCCTACAAGCCGGCCTCTTACCATCCGGAGCCCCAGTACAAGGAGGAGCCCAAGCCCGTTCGCCTACGACTACGCCGTCAACGACCAGTACACCGGCACCAACTTCGCCAAGAAGGAGGAAGCGATGGCCACAACACCCAGGGATATTACTCGGTGGATCTGCCCGACGGCCGTGTTCAGCACGTCAAGTACGTCGCTGACCACTACGGCGGCTACAACGCTGAGGTCACCTACGAGGGAGAGGCCCAGCTACCCGAGTACCACCCCGCCCCTGCCTACAAGGCTGCCTACTCCGGCAAACAAGCCTGCCTACAAGCCTACTTACAGCCATCCCGCCCCGGCATACAAGGCTGCGGCGTACTAGTCACCGGGTGAAAACGTTTGCCTATTTAAACGTGTAAAGTGTGTTGTTATCAAGCTTTTCGTGATCTGACCTGCTCTTTGCAATACAGTGTAGCACTGAAACCATGCGTATTTCTTCAAGAACACTCATACCGTCTCCGAGGGGCAATGGTAATCTGATAAACTGAAGCAACGACATTTCCATTCAACGAAGCTCTTGACAGACACCAATATTTGTAACGAATATTGAGGCAGTGAACTTTCCATGTGCATGATGGTGTGTAACCCGGTCAGTCTCGTCCCAATTGCGAAAAGTTGCGACACGAGATATACAATTGGTACCAATATTCAAACGATGCATCACAACGCCCATTTTCTCTGCGAAAATGTGGGTGCCGGCCAGCAAAAATCGCCATCAACTGAAGTTACCTGAAGGGTGGTATTAGTTCGCAGCTGGTCTAAACACATCTGACTTGTGGCTCCCTGCCGGGTGAGAGCTTTCCCACATCACTCCACTGGAAAAAGGATCCGGACATGACTACCCATCCCGTAATGGCACGTTGCAACCAATCACACACACACACGCACGTACGCACGCACGCACGCGCGCACGCACGCACGCAGCACGCACGCACGCACGCACGCACGCACGCACGCACACACACACACACAAACACACACATATATAATATATATATATATATATATATATGCACATATATATACACATATATATATATATATATATATATATATATATATAAAATATGTATATATATATATAATATCAAAAATACATATCTAAAAGTTGAACGTAAAGCAATGAAATGGGCAACCCTGGGACCACTCATGTCTAAAATCCCAACAGCTACCTAAACTGGCAAAAAATTAAATAGCATGATTGAACTCTACACACCAGCATAGTATAGCTTGCAGCCCACAGGAGAGTTAATTGGCATCATCAAGTTTTACAATCCCACTGGTCTACTTGCATCATTAGGCGTAGACAGTCTTTTCCAAACGCGCCTGTTGATGAAACAATCCAAATTACACTCGACTGCGTCTACAAACACCAAACCTTGTCACCATTGAAACCGTCATGACCCGTTCTCGAAACGAATGCTCCGATTCTGCACGACAGAGGCACGCTTCCGCTGCCCAAGCGGAAAACTGCTGCGATGTACATGGTGTCGCTATGGTATCACCGCTCGGATGTTTCTTTGCAAATATGTACATGTGCTGGCTGGAGAAACCAATTTCGCTGCAAATTGGAAACAAATCAATCATTTTTTATGTCAAGCGTGCATTATCTTACAAACGTTGGCGAATGGCAAACTGCTTTCTCGAATAAACACGATAGCTACGAGATGTAAGTAGGTATAGAGTGATCTCATAGATTATTGCACGTTGCAAAGTTAGGGGTGGGTACAATGCGTTCTGCCCCAATAACTTACAGCAGTGCTATGCAGTTTTTCTATTCCAACGACCCATGAGCTATGATTCACACAGGCAGCTGGGTGATAACACGCAGTCGATACTCCTGCCATCCTGTGGGTGAAATCAGAAGTTCAGTTCGTGTAATCCGCACCTGGCTCAATTCAACGAAGGGGGCGCCGTTTGCCTCTTGCGACCAACTGTGCGACACGGATACAGCTGTAGGGCGTGTAGCATTCAAACCGAAACTGTATGAGAGCCAGGCCTCTCGTGCACGTGTCGTGACTCAAGCAACAACCTGCTGACATATGGATGTAAAGATCTTGCCTCTCACGTTTATTTCTGTTTCCTCGTTGAGAGGATTAACCCTGCCCACAAATGAATATAAAAAGTAAAGCAATGGAACTCCGTTTCGTTGTTGTTTCGTATTTTCCTCGAAGTATCCGTATATGCTGAAGACTAATGCCGAATGTTTTTCAGATTTACGTGAGCTCTACGTGAGGCAGAAAAGTTGTGGTGATAATCTGTGATGACTGTTATAGTTCCCAGCGTTATGGTCGAACATCAGCGGTGTACTTTCTTGTTTGGTTCGGAGAGGGTGACAGAATTATATCAATTCTGAAAAGTTGCCTAAATCCTGAGCTAATGTCTTTTTCAACGCGAAGAATACGGTTTTTGGTCCGGGATAACACCTTCTGGCCGGAGAGAAACACGCGTTGCTCTGATGGAGGAAAGGGTGTGGCGTAGGTTCAGCCCGTATTACCCCACTTAGTATCTAATTTATTTTGCATGACTGCGCTCCTCCTGAAGAGAAAACACAAAAGTGGAATATTTCAGACGCACTGGAGCGCTTTGGCATGGATTAAAGTTCTCATGTCATGTTTTGGTCGTTCCAGGAAAAAAATGTTTCCGAGACGTAATCCTTTTAAGCCCACACTCGTGCCATAATCTTTTCCGCAAATAACACAGGTGTTTACAGAATATATCACAGGTGAGCCCTCCTGTTTAGAGTGTGATTAGAAAATCTGCTAGATCGATCTTGCAAATTGACGGTGTTACTTTTACTGACGATTATGTGTCAAAAACTCAAACCTATAATTTTAATCTAAAACTGCAGTGCCCTGCACCCGATAAAATGCGTGGGGCGCGAAAGCACCATCCATAAAAGCTGTAGTCTGCAACATAATGAACTTAATAATATATATCCAGACACGCAGTGTTTATGACATGCAGAGCGCGCATGCTTCGGAAAATATCTATGAGCGGCCACAACAAATTATCATAACTTTGATGCGGTCGATTTAAACACGCGTTTCAAGCGGCTGTAGGCAAGCTGTTACCAGCCTTCCCCACTTCTGCGAGCAGTTGCCTGGGCTATGAGCTGACTTTAAGCTTCCGGCCATGGGTTCAAGCCGGTGGCAGAAAATGTACTATCAACGTCCCTCCGAACAACCAAACCCCTGATCGAAACTACTGTGACAGAATCGTTCACCAGATAAATTGAATATTACATGAAAGCGACGTTCAAACAAGCTGTCGTTTGGAGCACAGCGATACCCTACGATAAGTCCATCCGTGTAGTGGCGCTGATCGCTACGACGCTCGGTCTTGGGAAATGTATTATAGCGGATACATTAAGCTAAGAATTGCCGCGATTTATTAAAAAACCCAGTTTCCCACCGCTGTCGCCAGTCTGTTATCAACATCCCATTTTTTGCGAGCAGCTGCCTGGGCTATGAGCTGGCTCTAAGCTTCCGGCCACGGGTTCAAGCCGGTGGCAGTGGGCGCGCCCAAGGGCGTGGCCATGGGTCCTGCGCTTATTCATCGGTCCGACCAGGAGAACAGTGTGGGTCAGCCAATGACTGGGCGCAGCGGGCCATGACCTCAGGCCAAGATCTGGTCTTGGCCGACCTATAAAAACAAAGACACTGTGGGAATCTGTACCAGTTGCACGGCGTACCCGGCCACTTAACAATACAGCATGAAGGTAGGTGTCACCAAGCATACAGCTGGACAAGTGCGCTGGTGGCTGCCTACGGAGCCATTTGCCACCGGCATTGGGCCAATGTGTTTAACGTAGTCATGGAATCATAAAGCTAGCAGTTGTGTGCAAGCTTTGGTGCATATTGAGTCTCTTCCATGAGGCTGATGTTGAAAATGGACGTTTGTTGTGTTCTTTCCCGGCAAGCACCGTGCATTTTCTCTCCAAACTAAGTATGGCCAAGCGTCCCTGCATCACAGTCATGGAAAAATGGCCCAGGTATACCTGAGTTACCCTAAATGACATTACTGCACCGCAGTTGCCGTGCAGGCCCTGTAATCGTCATTTACAACGACGTATCTCGATCCCAAATGGGCACCGAAATGAATGTCACCAAAACTGCCAACACAGAAAACCTAACTTTTGGCGAATGCCTACGGATTTGTGTTGGCTTTGAGAAAGGCAGCGTTTTACAATCCACGGTATTTTTACATGTGCTTTCAGTGCTCTGTGGTGTGAGCTGCGAATTGAATGACAGATGTGGTCATTACATGTGTCGACTGTAATAAAGCCTAATGTAATAACGATATCGAATCGAGTGTAGTAAAGCCGTTGAGAAATAATTTAAGATTACTATCGCATATCCGTAACATAATCGTTATGGCATTACAGGTTTTCATTATTGCCGCCGCTCTGGCTGCTGCCGCGGCCGCCCCGGAGCACAAGACGTCTCATCACGTGGCACCGACCTACAAGCCAGCCCCCTACCACCCGGCCCCGGCCTACAAGCCGACCCCGGCTCCCTACCATCCTGCTCCGTCCTACAAGCCCGCCCCCTACCACCCTGCCCCGTCCTACAAGCCGGCGCCCCACCACCCGGCCCCGTCTTACAAGCCCGCCCCCTACCACCCTGCTCCGTCTTACAAGCCCGCTTCTTACCACCAGGAGCCCCAGTACAAGGAGGAAGCCAAGCTTTTCGCTTACGACTATGCTGTCAACGACCACTACTCCGGAGCTAGCTTTGCCAAGAAGGAAGAGAGCGATGGCCACGACACCCAGGGATATTACTCGGTGGCTCTGCCCGACGGCCGTATCCAGCACGTCAAGTACGTCGCCGACCACTACGGCGGCTACAACGCTGAGGTCACCTACGAGGGAGAAGCCACCTTCTCCGACTACCACCCCGCCCCTGCCTACAAGGCTGCTGCCCCTGCCTACAAGGCTGCTGCACCGGCCTACAAGTCCGCCTACAGTCATTCCGCTCCGGCCTACAAGGCGGCGGCGTACTAGTCAAGTGCCGAAGAATGTTTTCTATTTAAACGCACAAATGCTGATGTTGTGAAACTTCTCGTGACCTGACCCGCTGTGTTTCAATAAACGAAGCACTCAAGCCACGCGTCTTTTTACGCAAGCCGTCTTGCGTTGTCCAGTGAGCTAATTTCAGTGATGCCGCTGCAACAACAGCCAAGCAACAACCAACCGAAAATAATGTCAGTTGTATGTTATTTAACCACGAGGTGGTTTATCACAGGTTTTGCGTGCAGTACCTCCGCCACAAATACTGCCGGAAGTTTCCGGTACGATTAAGACGTATTGAAGTAATTATTTTCAAACGAATATTCTCGGTGATCAGTAGAGGTGATGTGTTGAAAAATAAATGCACCGAAACTCCTTAGATGGTGGTTATCAATGCACGATTTTGTTTAACTTCTCTGGCAAGCCACTGGGAAAGAAAGCTCCTTCTCCTCGTGTCTGGAATGACTCAGATCATTCCAAGTAGGTCCTTCACAGCTCCAGTGCTACCAGGCGGCCAGGTTGGCATATTCTGCAGGGAATATCTTTCGGATCCTTACATATCCTAATGACTTGTAGCGTGCCAAGTGCAACTCTTTATTTCTGAGGATTTTTGTTGAGTTTTTATTTTCGCACGCAAAGCTGTTTATTTCATAGGCGGCGATTCCCAGCTCTCCCACTTCTTCCTCTTCAGAGATAATTCACAGAACGATCGGACCGCATGAGCTGACTCACTGCGAGCTGACTTGACTGCACATCCAGGTGATCAAAGGGCGTGTCCAACTGACACGCGCTACCGGTCGATCTCAGACCGGCACCAGAGTGTTTCCGTCAAGCCGCCGCACCACATGGCGCCACTCGTTTCGCGATCCTTTGGCGCGTTTTGACGTCGGAGGAACGCTTGGAGGTTTGGGCACACGAACATACAGAAAACAATATGTTTGAGGTTGTGCTCGCATCCTTTGTCTGCACACTTGATCGTAACACCTGGACACTTATCACGGTTAGGCCACATAACCGACCAAAAGTCACGTACATTTTCAAATAATCGTATGACCGCACCAATTTGTAACCAATCAATTAGTTCGGCGTCATGAGACCGCAGATTCGAAGGAACTAGTGCTAAATGCATCGCCTAGCGTCAAGTCAATACCACAGCCATCGTCTTCAACTAGAACCCCGAGCCAGCCAATATATGGCTGAATAGCCCGAACCCCAAATTGGAAAAGTTTGGTGTCTTTTGGCGCAGGCAACTTGTTGTAAAGGGCTTGTGACAAGTATTGCTAGCATGCAGTGCAAGGTGTTGCGCATAGCGGATGAATCATTACCCATCGAAGCTGGTTTGCACCTGCTTTCATTATTCATCTTCCTAAAATCGATTACGCGACACTGGAAGTAAACAACAATGATGCAGGAATCAAAACATTTCGAAACGTCACCGAGTCTGTAAGAATACCAATCAATTAAATTGGTATTGTTGGGGATTTTTTATTCAGTAGTAGATTTGCTATGTCAAGCAGTGCTTTCGGAGGTCAGCGGCAGTCATACATTTTGCACAGTAGTAGGTGGCTGGCGGCGGTCGGACATTTTGTAGTAGCACGTGAGCAGCTCACCCGAACGTTCAGATGTCCCTCCCGAGAGGAGTGAGGAGTGGCCAGGGAAATAAAGGGCTGAAAGTGCGTGTTCAGTGAGTTTTCCTAACATTTTTTTGATGCCCAAACCCGGGAAGTAGTGAACTGAAGTTTAAGCATCTGTTATTTTGCTGAGTTGTTCTGAGTGCCCATGTCAAGATGGGTGGAAGCCCGGATGCTTTCAAGAAGCGAACAGCAGCTAGGGGTTGGCTGACCAGGTAGGTGAGGAAACTTGAGGGAATTCTGGAACATAAACAACCAGATCAAGATGCACTTCAGGCCGCTAAACTTGGCTGCGAGAGGAGGCTCCACTTCCTGGATGAGGCCCAGTCTGAGGTGGAGCTGTGCTTCGAGACAGAGGAAGAGATACTTAATTATATTGAGGGTGCAGCCGACCTGAGAGACGGGGTGATGTCGGTTTTGGATAAGGTTGGTGGAGCCCCGCAGCGGAACAGTAAGGCTGGCTCAGTGAGCTCATTGAGCGGGGAGGAGCATCTTAGGCTTTCAAAGTTGGAGCTCCCGAGATTCAGTGGGGATTTCCTCAAGTGGCAGTCCTTTTCGGAGAGCTTTGAGGTGTCCATCGATAGTTCGGAGCTACCTGATGTGACCAAATTTCCTTGCTTACCTTCGGTCCGTGCTGGAGAAGGAGGCAAAGGACGGTGTGTCGGGTCTTTCCCTGAATGGTACGAACTATGTCAGTACATGTGACCTCCTCAAGAACAGTGTTGGGAGGAAGGAAGTGATAACCTTTTCCCCACATCCAGCAGCTTCTTTGACTTCCAGAGGCCAGATCCAGCATCCTTCAGTACCTTAGAGAGCTGCAGGACCGCCTCCTAACCCACATCTGCAGCCTGCAGTCACTTGGTGTGGGGGGTGACAGGTATGGTGAATCATTGTCCCTCTTATCCTGTCTAAGCTGTCCCCTGACATCAGGCTGGAGTGGGCTCGTGAGGGCGCAGGCAAGGAAGCGGACCTGGCGTGGCTGATAAGCTTCCAGGCGGCTGAGATGGAGCGTAGGGAGCGTTCCAGTGCCTATGGCTGGAGAGAGGGGCAGAGGAGGACACCAGCAGCAGCAGCTCTGCAGTCAGGAGCCAAACCAGCGTGTGGCTTCTGTGGGCAGACACATCAGCCTGAGGTGTGTCTGAAGCTTAAGCCCCTGTCAGTACCAGAGCGCAGAGATGCTATCGAGCAGGCTGGGCTGTGCTTTCGGTGCCTGAGAAGTGGACATGTGGCTCGCAGGTGTGACGAGGTGTGTGCTGAGTGTGGGGGACGTCACAGTGCTGTGCGCTGCCTAAAACTGCTTGGTGGTAGGGGGCAGAGTGTTGGTGCCGGCTTCCAAGCCAGGGTGCTGGAGGATGCAGAGTCTGTGAGCATGATGTAAGAGTCCGTGAGCAGTCCAGTAAGATGCTGTCCGACAGAGCCCGTGTGCACGAGAGACGGTTGAACCGATTCTGGCTTGTGTGGAGGAATGAGTATCTGCGGACCCTACCTCCGTCGGTCCGCGAGTTTAGGTCCCACGGTAAGCTGAGGCTGGGGTCAGCGGTCCTGATCAGGGAGCATCAAGTCCCTAGGATGAAGTGGGTGATCGGGGGTAGTTATCAAGCTGTATCCAAGGAGGGACGATGTCACCAAGTCAGCTGAGGTCCGAACTAAAGCTGGCCAGCTGAGGACCCGGGCAGTCCAGCGGCTGTGCGACATAGAACTGTGTGACGATCAGTGAAGCCGTTCATCACTCGCTCCTCCTTCTCCGCCAGGCCAAGTTTTGTGTGGTGCAGTGCCTTGTTTGTTTAGGAAAGCCGTTTCAATCCATAGGCGGGGAAAATGTTGGGGATTTTTGTATTTAGTAGTAGATTTTCTTTTATGTCAAGCAGTGCTTTAGGAGGCCGGCGGCGGTCGGACATTTTGCACAGTAGCAGGTGGCCGGCGGCGGTCGGACATTTTGCACAGTAGCAGGTGGCCGGCGGCGGTCGGACATTTTGTGGTAGCGCGCGAGCGGCTCACCCGAACGTTCAGATGTCCCTCCCGTGGAGAGTGAGGGTTGGCCAGGGAAATAAAGGGCTGGAAGTGTGTGTTCAGTGAGTTCTCCTAACAGGTATCTTAAACATTAATGACAATATTCAATGCCGCAGAAAACAAGCAGAAAGGAGCCGGGAGTGTTGACCCTGCCGTTTAACGCATCTTGCATTCAAGTTATCAGGGATTGTATAAGACAACATGTGATGTGTTCTACCGGTGGCTACCATTAAGAACATTGCCGCCTTAAGCTTCCAGCGATAAGAAACTGCAAATTATCGCTATTTACGGTCGGAAGAATATCCCTCACAGTGGCGTCCCATGTCTCAGTAGTATGTCTCGGTACCAGAGAGCAAAACTCACCTACTTTAGTCTCCTGGGGCTATGTGGGCAGCTTTAGCCATGTTCGCCAAACCACACTAACACAACTAGCGACATGTTAACGGCGTTAAAAAAACGGAAGGTATGTGGAAACAGTCAATAAAACTATTAACAACACTAGCCAAAATGCGACTGTTTGTGCAGAAAACGTTTGGCGCACCCAAACAAAGTATGGCTGACACATTCGTAACAGCAAACAAAGTAGATCACTATATCAGTAGGGTATGGGACCATGGCTAAGAGTGACGCCCTATGGACACCAAGATTCACACAATGGGAGTCCTAAAGAAAGACGAGGTAGCACGTATGCCGGCGCCGCACTTTAAAGCGCTGTATGCATTTGCATGTGATGCTTCTCAGCAGCTGGTGAGGAGCAAACGTACCTATTTGCTACACTCAGAAGTGTATCGGTTATTCCCTGTTCCCGACAGTTGCATCATTGAGGTTGAGTCCGTCACGACATGGGGCAGATTGCTGGTATACTGTACCGGAAGCGTTGTAGGGCAAAAACAGTGTTACAACCTAGGCGATAGGGTAAAACGTAAACAAGAGAAGAGAAACTTGCGCTAGAAATACAAACGTTCCGATGATAAGTGCCAATACATGGCAATGAACATACAATACGCAACATCGGTTACACAGTATCCAAAAGATGGCGGCAACGGTCAGCTATGACACATTTGTCCAACTGGCGATAACCTGGCAGCAGTATTTCAATGGTTTAGGAGTTTGGTGTATAATCTAGGCGCAGAACAAACAAAATATTAAATGTCGTGGCCATGGTGCGCATGAGACATAGGGAGTTAGTGCTGCGAGTATTGACGTTGCATGGCTCTCATGGTGTTGTGTGGATATTCTAAAGATGGACCATGGGCTGAG